CCCTCGGTTACCGCCAGTATACGCGTCTCCTCCTTTGGACCAGCACTACAATTGGTCTCTTGTTCACATGATAGCAGCGATTTACCAGTTTTTTAATCGCGTAATACCACCCTGTTGTATGATTCTTTCTTTTTGAACCGTGATCTTACTGGGTGATTGTCTATTCCATTGTTTGCAGAGATGGGCAAGTGTGAGCTCCCGTCGACGGTCTGAACCGAAGCAACAGTAGCGAAAGACTGAAGAAGAGCAGCGGCAGCAGCCATCTCGGGATGCGAGGATTTATGAAAGAAAATCGAACGCCGGACAGAGGAAGGAGGGAAAAGAGGCAGAGATGTTGGAATCTTTGCTTTTCTTTTCCAGTTTTCCTCCCTTTCTTTACCTGTGGTGCTGTGCCCGCTGCTTGACTCCTGCTGCATGTTTGCTGCGGCGTAGAAACAGATTACTGTAGTAGCTGTACCTCTTTCTTTTTGCAGCTTTGGCTAATGGTGGGGGATATCTTTGTTTAGTCCATGTAACTACGCTGGAGTATGGAGTATTACTATATGATTAACCTAAATCACTACTATTATAGACTGATTTGTACTAGCCATTGGTTGGCCATGTGAGTGACCCACTATGGCTTGTCTCGAGGGCCTTGTTGCCTGGTTTGACTCTTCCTCCTCCATCGTCTGGTGGATTTATACCGGAAATGGTGCTTTGCTTTGAAGCCAATTCGACCGGCATTAGAGTTTCAAACCCATGATAGCGTTGTGCCCTCGTCTCGTCTCGTGCTTTGCAATTGTTTCGCTTTCAGGCTACGCTTTTGTGAACGTCCGTGAGTTTGTTAAAAATCAGTTAGTAGTAGGTTGGTTTGAAATCCGTCGTTGGGATTTCTGCGTACTTCTCCTTTACAAGGAGAAATTTCGTGCCAAACTGCTCTGGAAAGATCCACATAGTAACGTCCCTTTTTACAGTAGTATTTCCTGATCAGGCCCACTCACAAAGTTGACAGGCCGTTGATCCCAACTTCTCACGACAATCACCAGATCACCACTAGTGTTTGTGACCAGCTAATCTAAAATGTCGCGTTGACACGCACTTGCGACGTACGACGCTGATCTAACTAGAAAAGGCTCGCGTTGCCACCGGCTCCCCACCCGACCACGGCACACGTTGTCTCGAGGCCTTTCGGCAACCAGCCAACCACGCGACGTACCGGCCGGGGTTGTGGGCGTCGTGATGTCGTGCACGGCCACGGCTGCGGCCTCCGGGAGTCCGGATCACATGGAGCTTCGCCTTCGCGGGACGTGGCCTCCCTTCGGTACAAAACCGATCTCTGCCTCGCCTGGCTGCCTCCCCCGCGACCCGCGTGCGCGCGCATGTGAGGGAAGCTGCCAAGCGGAGCCGGCAGGCGAGGTTGAGCTGGACCACCGAATGGAGGAGGAGACGGGAGAATATCGGGGGTTTCATCGGTGGTTCCCCGTGAAAATCCGTGCCCCGCCGGCTGGAGGGCCACACGCTGATATGCATGCAGAGGATACAGTTTTTTGTGACTCGTACTCCCGTGGTGGATTCGTTTTGTACCTTTGGTTCGTTGTCTCGTAGCATCGCGTAGGCGGTACAAATCGTCTTTAGCGAGGCCCGGAGCTTAACATGCTCGGCCGAAAGAGGGCCCGTTTAGTTATCAATTTTTTTTCCAAAAACATCACATCGATCTTTGAACACATGCATGAAGCATAAATCTATCTATTATATTATTAAAACAGCTCGAAAAGAAGCCACCACGTTCGCTGTGGAAGCTAAAAATTCCTACATTAATCGAAGAAAAAGAAAAGAAGAGTCCAAATAGAAATACAAACTAAAAAATAACTGAAATTCGGAATTAAAAATAAGCAATACTGAAATAGGAGTCCATATAAGAACCCAATACGAGATTAATTAAAACCTTTGGTAATTCTAGATTTTAACTGTTTACAGTAGAAAAGATAAGTCTATAGATCTGTACTACGTTACATACTAGGAGTCTTTGTCCTTTTCTATTTCTTTGGCGGTGTACACAATACACGTATAATCTAATTCAATTACAAACCTATACGGAGAAGAGTTGTGCTGCCAAATAAACAAAGCTTGCACTGCTGCACCTATATATTCTGTAGATTTCAAGCATCAACGATTGGGCTGGAGCGGCAGAACCCAATGATAGCGGGAGCCAACCATAGTAAAAAGACATGATATTTACATAGACATTACAACAAACAGATCAATACTTGCAGCCGGCAATGCATCAAACACCAAAAGTTTCTTTGATGTTTATGAAAGTACAAATGATATCAACATATTGTAATTAGTGTATATTTTTCACAGGAGATGAGTTAGTGCAAGCCGCTATAAACTGACAGTCAGATTAAACGTTTAGATTATAGTGGATTCATAATTTAACGTTCATAATTTAACGGTTGAGATATAACACCTATATATAAATATAGGAATTAGAGTTGTAGTGCTAATACAGGTGTACAAAGCGCCTTGCTCGATGGAATAATCGAGATCCAATTCTAAAACTGTTATCTAAACCTATTTGATTCCAGTGGAAAAAAAAAGCAAAACAGGAACTAGGTAGGCAGAAAGCCGTGTATATACGTGTGCACATGTAAGTATTATTTTTTCAGTCTAATCACTTCAAAACTATTTAGAACATACTGTGATATATTTGTTGCCAGTAAAAATGAAGCGACTGCCTCTTTATCTATTCGATCCTTTTTAATCACCAAATATACAACCAGCAATTCAGATGTTTTATAAGTAACTAATTTTGAAATAATAATAATAATGAAGACTATGAAAAGAAAAAACCATCTACAACACAACATGTGATTAATTAATTTTTTTTAAAAATTATGAAATTAGAAAAATAAAAACAAAAGTTTAAGAAAGAATACGATTTATGAATAACAAAAGTTCAAAACAAAAAAAAAAGTATTAAAAGAACAACCCGTAACACAACAATGGTAAATAACAATAAAGAGGGAGGGATAACGGGTGAGCCGTAAATAAATAAATAGGGTGTAGCGGTTGATGGGACATTTTAAAACAATAAAAATATAAATGACGATTAGATTCAATTTTAAAAATCTCAATGACGATTAAGAGAAACAGCAGCGGGCAAGCCATCAAGGAGCGCAGTCGTGACGTTTGAATGGACTTCTAAAAAGAAAAAAAAACAACGATAATCATAATATCATATTTGACTTTTTAAATTCCAATGACAACTAAGAGGAGACATCGGGTGGATTGTAGAACAGTACAATGATGACATTTGATGTAACTTCTAAAAATATAAATATGTCAATCGACAAGACAATGAATTAAAAAACTATAAGATCTAAATATGAAAGTTTCAAAGAGGATGAATAAAAGTTATGACAGGTCGGGCAATCAAATAAATGAGAGGTAAAAAAGTAAGGGGTGACGACTTATTGACTTTTAAAAACTAACCCGATGATAATAAGATTCAATCTTTTAAGATCGGCTAGATGGCTATTTAACAAATTTAAATAAAACCATGCTTAAAAATATATAATCCTGGATGGGTGCTAGCCGCGCAACAAATAAAGGGGTTACAAAGGAGTAAGGGTAGCAACAGGTGTGACTTTTAAAAATTATAAAATTATAAACCCGGGGATGATAATGTTCGATCTTTGAAAGTCATAAAACAACGAGATAGATATTTAATAAATTTTAAGTAGAATCATGTGAAAAATTAGATAATTTTGTGGGTGCTAGCCGCGCAATTGCGCGGGCCACCCAGCTAGTTATATAATTAAAGGAATAGAAAAAGGAGCCTCCACGTTCGCTCTCGTGGCCTAGAAATTCTCACATTAATCGGAGAAAAGGAAAAGGCATAGTACATATAGAAATACAATTTAGAAATAGCTGAAATTCGGAATTAAAAAATAAGGAATACTAGAAGAGGAGACTAGAGTCCATATAGAAATACAATTTAGAAATAGCTGAAATTCGGAATTAAAAAATAAGAAATATTAGAAGAGGAGACTAGAGTCCATATAGAAATACAATTAAGAAATAGTTAAAATTTGGAATTAAAAAATAAGAAATATTAGAAGAGGAGACTAGAGTCCATATAGAAATACAATTAAGAAATAGTTGAAATTTGGAATTAAAAAATAAGGAATGTTAGAAGAGGAGACTAGAGTCTATATAAAAATATAATTAGGAAATAATTGAAATTCGGAATTAAAAATAAGGAATATTAGAGGTAGAGTATGGAGTCCATATAGAAATACAATTAGAAAATAACCGAAATTCAGAATTAAAAATAAGAAATATTAGAAGTAGACTATAGAGTCCATATAGAAATACAATTAAGAAAAAAAATAGAAATTTGGAATTAAAAAATAAGGAATATTAGAAGTAGAGTATAGAGTTCATATTGGAATTTAAATCCAACTAAAATTCAGAATAAAAAGGAGCCTCCATGTTCGCTCTCATGGCCTAGAAATTCTCACATTAATCAGAGAACAAGAAAAAGCAGAGTCCATATAAAAATACAATCTAGAAATAGCTGAAATTCAGAATTAAAAAATAAGGAATATTAGAAGAGGAGACTAGAGTAGTTATTACACATTAGTAGTTTTGAAAAGTTATTGCAAAATTTAAAATTATGTTGTCATTGTAATATATTTTAATAATATAATGAGAAAACATATGTGCTATTATATGAGAGAAAATATAATGATGCTAGCCGCACAATCTGCGCGGGCCCCCATGCTAGTATAGATAAAAAGAAAAATTAATTGCACAGTTATGGGGGAAATCGCGAGATGAATCTTTTAAGCCTAATTAGTTCATGATTAGCCATAAGTGCTACTGTAACCTACATGTGCTAATGACGGCTTAATTAGTCTCAAAAAATTCGTCTCGCGGTTTCCAGGTGAGTTCTGAAATTAGTTTTTTCATTCGTGTCCAAAAACCCCTTCCGATATTCGATCAAACGTTCGATGTGACAGCCAAGAATTTCATTTTCCCCAACTAAACACACCCAGAAAAGCACAGATGTGTCGACGAGACATTATACAACAAGGCCCATCTAAGGCGACAGCGGAAGTAGCATAAAACAACATTAGCACAAGGCCCATCTAACGTGGTAGCCATTGAAGCACAGAACAATACGATTAGAGCGCCCGTTACACACACTTGAGTACTTGACGCGATACTTACATCCCCAGGTTACGTACACACACTAGTAGTAGTCTAGTACGTAAAAACATTACGCAGAAAAACACGGGACGGCATGTACAGCACCACGTACACTACCGTACACATCCCATATATCTGGATCATGGCACGCGCAGCCGTAGCTAGTGAAGTCTGATCCTTATCAAGCGGTGGCGATGGGCGCCGCGTGGACGACCTCGGCGGCGGACTTCATGGCCTCGAAGCGTGGCTCCTTGGCCTCGAACTTGTGGCGCACGTACAGGTTCATGTAGTCCTCGAACACGAACCTCGGGTAGGCGGCCGCCGCCGCGTCGGCGGCGGCGAGCGCGGGCGCCGGGAAGATGACGGCGTCGGCGCCGGGGTTGTAGAAGGAGGCGATGGACATGCGGTTGCCGTCGGGGCGCGTGAGGACGCGGTGCATGACGCTCTTGTACCTGCCGTTGGTGATCACCTCCAGCTGGTCGCCGATGTTGGCGACGATGGCGTGGCGCATGGGCGGCACGTCCACCCACTCCCCGTCCTTGAGCAGCTGGAGGCCGCTCACCTGGTCGTCCTGGAACAGCAGGATGATGCCACCGGCGTCGGTGTGGGCGCGGAGGCCGTCGACGAGATCGGGGCGCGGGCACGGCGGGTAGCTGCTCACCTTGGTGCCGAACGTTGGGCCGTTCGACCCGGCGAAGGCCTTCTTCAGGTAACCCTTCTCCAGGCCCAGATTCTCGCACAGCAGGTCCAGCACCCTCTCCGAGAGCTTCTCGATCTCCGACGCAAATTGCTTCATCACCTGCCTACACAAACGCGACACATGGGCTTCTGTTAGGCCTCGCGAATATTCACAAGTCACTTGCCATTTGCCAAAAGCGAATCCAGTTAGTGTGAGTTCTGATTGATTGATAGTTACTGCACGTTGTATGATGTATACTCCTCTCCGGGGGAAAACAGAAAAAAAATGGTGTATTCCTACACTTGTTACTATCTCATAGTAGGAAAGGGTGCAGAGATGCGCCACTACGTCCGTTCAAGAGTAATCGACGCTGTGGATAAGCCGCAGTAAAAAAGTAAGCATCTCCTTTTGGTCGATAATCCTGTCACCTTTGGTTGCAGTAGCTGTTTACAGAAGTGGGCATTTCTATAGTAGAGCGCGTCGTGTCAGGTGTAACTTTGTTGAGGTTTTGGTCAGGCCTACACTCTACAGTAGCTAGGATACTTTGTAAGCCTTTGCTTTGTGAGTGTACTACTTCCGATTAAAATACTGACGATCATTTAGGCGAGTTTGCAACTTAAGCTTTTCTTTCAGAAGCATGCAGATAAATTAACAAAGACTAAATTGAGTTTGTTAATGATGATTGATGATGACGCATGCATGCAGGGTAAGTATACCTGTAGTGGTCGTCGACGTCGGGGAGGTCGGCGAGGTTGGAGACGGGGCGGTGGCGGACGAAGAAGGTGCTCTCCCAGTCGATGCCCTTCACGTCGGCGCCCTTCTCGCCGGCCTCCAGCATCCGCCGCGCGAACTCCTTGAACTTCTCCTCCCGGCAGTTGGCGTAGTGCGCCTTGCTCACCCGCTCCACCTCGTCCATCAGCTCGTGCGCGATGCCATGGTTCAGCATCTGCATTCACACATGTTAATTTCGACATGCAAAGTTAATACTTTGACAAGCATGACAAATCAAAGCTAATTAGTAGGCGTTCTAGCCGGCGAGCCTACTGAGATGATAAGATTGAATTGGTGGGTCGACTGACTAAGATGGAGAATAAGAATATGTTTCCATCCTTTCGGCCAGAAAGAACGATGTACGTATAGGTGGCTCGATGAACAAAAAAAAATCGAAACATATCAATAAGTTGTGCGGCCACTTAGGAATTAGCTAGAATCATATTAACATTTTTTTGCTGGTTAGTACATGCTAGTGCTTGGCATGCATATGCACCTCGAAGAAGCCCCAGTTCTCGCAGGCGTCGCGGATGACCTCCATTGCTGCGCCCCTCTCCTCGGTCTCCAGGTTCTCCATGTTGATCACCGGGAAGGAGGCAACACTCGCCATCTCTGTCTCTCTCTCTCGTTCACTCGCTCGCTCGCTTAAGCTGAGTGTGTGAGTGCGTCTGTGTGTCTGTGTGTGCACTCTGAGGCCGGCGGCGAGCGCCCAATTTATAGGCGCGAGAGCGAGAAGCTAGCTTGCACAGTTATCTTTTTCACTAGGCTGACTGCCTGACCCCCAGGACGTGGTGTGCGGTATGCCTTACTTCCTACATCTCAAAATAAGTGCAGCCATGGTTTTCCGCATCTAACTTTAACCGTTCGTCTTATTTGAAAATTTTTTTAAAAAAATTAAAAACATAAGTCACGAGTAAAGTACTATTCATGTTTTATCATCTCATAACAACAAAAATACTAATTATAAAAAAGTTTCAAATAAGACGGACGATCAAAGTTGGACGCGGAAACTTATGGCTACACTTATTATGGCACGGAGGTAGTACGAGTTTACGACAAAGTTTAGTGATTTGGTCCAACGGAGAGTAAAGTAGTGTGGACGTAAGCAAGCTAAGCTAAGCTAAGCTGCTAATCTGATTATCTGATCTGATCACACTGTGTCCTGTGCACGCCGCAGGTTGAGTTCATGCCGGTTACCCGACACAGTCACAAAAAGGTTCTCCACAAGATTTGCTCTTACTCCTAATTAATGTCTAATGCCTTTGTGATGTAGTAGTACTATAGTGTAATACTATAATGGTAGTGGTGGTTACTATTCTATATACCTAACCTAAGTGATCAACTCTATTAAGTAGAGAACTACAGATCGATAAGAGACTGTTCCTTGCTTTTTGGATTTGATGATGACAGAATTTTGGGCATAGTACACCTGGCCCAGACCTGATCAATTTGATTTGTCAAATGTAGACTTCACATGGCTAGGTCCTATGGACACATATCAGGTTTTTTAAAAAGGGTGTGGCAATTTATTATATTAAAGAAGATATAACATTTTAAGAAAAAAAATATCAAACCATACATTATGCAAAAAAAACATACAGTGCTTAGTTTGTTAGGAAAAAACCGTACATTGTGTCCGGCCAATACCACCTCTATAACCACCTACTAAACCGAACAAGCCAACCTCCTCTAAAGGCTTCCCTGCTTCACGTTGATTAGTCCACGTTCAAAACAAACCGACCAACCTCATCCTATCAAATCAGCTCTCTAGGCACCAACCGATGCCCACATGGAGCAAGAGTGTCGTCTGTGATGGCTCGCTCTTGCCGTCAGTGTTTATGGATCGAGAAAATATGAATTGAATTCATAGAAGAAAAATATCTGTATTAGGCAGAGAGAGAAAGAAAAAGAATGTGAGAGGAGAGGAGAGGGCAGGCATCGGAAGTGGGTGGGTGACGTTGCCGATGGTGGCAAGGTGGTGAGCTAGGAAGGTGGTTCAGACCTGGTGGAGTCGCCTCCTGGATTGCTCATGTACATATTGTACTATGTATTTACAAGCCGTCGCTCATCGTCGTTGTCAACCTGTGCAGTAGCAGCTCGACGACGGCCACCTCGACCCGTCCGCAGTGGTGGCCCGACGAAGGCCGCCTCGATCCACATCTGCCTCAACCTCCTTGTCGTGTCGATCTGGTCGACGTTGTCCGATTCGAGGCTCCACCGAGGAGAGGACCGCCGGATGGGGGGAGAGGTGAGGCCGCCAGCCATCGGAGGAGAGAAGAGGAAGAGGAGCTCAAGCTCGAGGCCGCCGGATGGGGAGAGGCAGGACCGCCGACTGTGGGAGGAGAGGAGATGTGGAGCCCCGGCGAAGTGTGGGCGAGGTGGGAGGCGACCGGATAGGGTTTGGATAAGCATATCTATGTGGCTGTTTTTCGAAAAAAAAAAATTCGTATTTTTTATGTTTACAGCGCTACCCCTAAAAGCGAAATTTTCTCATCTTAGCGTTGTACTTGTCTGAAACACGAAGGGTTTTCCGTAAGAAACACAACAGCATGTTTGCGATACGTGAATTACAAATAAACTGGAGGACATTTTTGCCGATTCCCACTCGAGGAGTCCTGTATACTAGAAAAACATGTGTCGCCTAAAGAGAAGAGCAAAAAAAATATTGAAAAAACAGAGAAAAACGGAGCCCTACGAACTGCTAATATCTATAGATGTACCAACTGATACCATGAGGTTGCATGAGATTTAACACCAAACAGGCACACGCTTTCTTGTTGATTATTTGATACCAAATTATTTTTTGGTTATCCAGTGTATTTTTTTCTTAAACTAATTGATATCTTCCAGTAAAATTCAGTTGAAAACTCTTGAGGCTTAAACAGATCTCATTTCAGTCAGTACACAAGCATTACATGATGCTTAATTACTTGCATCAATGGAACCAATTACTCTTTTTTGCTGTTGCTGGACTGGACCCCGAGACCCCAGTCCCAACGATTGGTTGATTGTCCTGTCGTTCCTGTTCATCTCTGATCATGTCCCTTCTTCCTCATCTCTGCTTTCTCCATCATGTAGGGGCCGGAAGAACTCCTATATCCACCCATCGCTGCGATCTCCACTTGACTTTTCTGGACCCATCTCATTGCCTCGCTGGTGTACATGCATCAATGCATGCATGGTGACGGTGCGCACTGATCGGCCGGCGCCCGTTCAACTTGTCGCGCCGCAAGGACCAATATGTCTCCTGCCCGGCCGTGAGTGCGCTCTGCTTTCCTTGGTCGCGCCGGTTTTGGGGATCGCCCGAACAAACGTGCCCTGGCCTATACTGGGCTCACCGGCACTCCGGTAGGTTCAGTGCATTCGTCCGGAAAAGAAAAATAAAAACGTGTACATACAAAAAGTTGTCCTCAAAATATAGTTAGTGTTTATTCCCTAGAAATATAGAAACCGGTTCTGATGAACCCTAATTAGTTATTTTCCGTAAGCACTTCTACGATATGAATGAATGATAATGTCACTATTTGTTTATATGGCAAAAACTGTTGTTGGCCGAAGCACTCCCTTCGTCATTTCTGTTTCCTACTGACGATCTCCGGACCAACTGCTAGCGTATGTTCTTTTTCTTTTTCAAACCGTCCCACTAATCAAAATGTACTTAGCTAATTTGATGTATATATATCACCATCCTCGTCATTAGCGGCAAAACCACCGTACGGACAGGTTGGACGGTCGCCGAGCTTCGTCACTTCGATTTCAATGACGACTAACGTTGATATCTTAAAGAAGTGGTCGACCACTATAACGCCGGCCCTGGTTTGACAATGCCGTCGACTCTCTCACTGCTCATCATGGTTTATTGGGCATACATCTTACTAGATTATTTGGACCTGTTTTAATTTCATATTTAGAGGGTACAATATCCGGGCCATTTCTATATTCAAGGTTTTAGGAAAATCAACCATAGTACTTTAGAGTTTAGAGTGACGGTAGTCTGTTTCTAAAAAAAAAAGAAAGAAAAATAAGGTGCAAGTGGTGATGTCTAAGTGGTTCAATCATTCTTGACGTATGACATAGGGAATGTTTGGTCGGATATGTAGAAATCTTTTTCATTATCACAGTAGATCTTCAAAAAAAGAAGACTTTGTATCGACTAAAGTATATACTTCGACTTTCATGCGCTAGAACTTTAGCTCGTAAACATAAAAGTACGGTACGAGCTTTTAAGCAATGGTTGGGTTCGGTATTTTAAGAAGTTTGGGATACAATGATAAATGTAGCGGCAATATTATAGGGGTTTTGCCGTTGTGCTGCAGTGGGGAGCTCATGGAACAGTATCTTTTGCAACAGTCTCGGGAGAATGATCAGTGTAGAACTGTAGATGTGCAAGTTGCCAAATATACTCGAATTGTGCCCGACCGACACAATAATAGAGGGCAGAATAATATTCAGAACAAGTCTCCTGCATACTTTGGGGTTTTGATCTTTCACAAATTAATTTTTTCATAACATAAATACGTACTACCTTATAGGAAACCTCAAAATATTCTAGCTTAGCAGCTGTCATACAGAGACATATCTAGAGTATAGTTAGGGGTGTTAACTTTAGTCCCAGCCACATCGGATATTTAGATACTAATTTAGAGTATTAAACATAGACTATTTATAAAACAAATTACATAAATAAGAGCTAATTCGCGTGACATATTTTTTAAGCCTAATTAATCCATAATTAGCACATGTTTATTGTAGCATCACATGGGTTAATTATGAATTAATTAGGCTCAATAGGTTTATCTCACAAATTAGTCCAGGGTTATGGAATGTGTTTTATCAATAGTCTACGTTCAATACTTCTAATTATTGTCTAAACATTCGATGTGACAGGGGCTAAAAATTTTATCCCATCCAAACCCCTCCTAAGCAGAGATCTTAAACCTCAGTTAATTTTATACTATCTGGGGGCAAATGACTACCTTACAATTTTTACTTTTTTAATCTTTCTACGTGGTAGTAGATATTTTGCTCCTACTCATGCTACGGATTGAGATCCTCTGAGTTACTGACATGTGGGCCTTCTTTGCTATGGACCCACATGTTAGTGACTGTTAAGTCACTTGACTTAAGTAGAGGATCTCAATCGAGCTACTTCTTACCTTCATCCTTGTTGTCATGGCTTTTAATCGTACTAGTAGGTTACGCGTCTAGGAGTACCATGTATTATGTACTACTAACATACTTCTTCTTTTCATATTATAAGATGCTTTAACTTTTTTTTCCTAAATTAAATTTATCTAAGTTTAACTAAGTTTATATGAAAAAATTTCAAACCATACCAATATACTATTAAACTATATTTAATGTTAGATTTAATGTGACTAATTTAGTGTTGTAGAAGTTGCTATATATTTTCATAAAAAAATTGGAATAATATATTTTCATAAATTCGACCCAATCTATTCAAATTTAACTAATAAAATTAAAGCATCTTGTAATATAAACGGAGGACATGATATAGGGCATGTTTAGTTTGCGAAATGAAAATTTTTGGGTGTCACATTGGATGTTTGACCGAATGTCGGAAGGGGTTTTCGGACACAAATGAAAAAACTAATTTCATAACTCGCATGGAAACCGCGAGACGAATCTTTTGAGCCTAATTAATCCGTCATTAGCACATATGGGTTACTGTAGCACTTATGGCTAATCATGGACTAATTAGGCTCAGAAGATTCGTCTCGCGATTTCCCCCTTAACTGTGTAACTAGTTTCTCTTTTAATCTATATTTAATGCTCTATACATACATCCAAAAAATTCGATGTGATATTTTTGGGAAAAATTTTTGGGGAACTAAACAGAGCAGAAAGGGATCCTCTGACTTAACTGCTGTGCAGTTGAGTCACAGTTAAGTCAGAGGATCTGCTTCCAAACGGGGCCATAATATGAAACGGAGGAACTATAGTATTTGGGACCCCGGCTGGCCAAGGCAGTAATCATAAGAGCACCGTCACGTCGCGCTCCGCCACGACAGTACGACGGATCACCTGTGCAGCGGCCCTACGAAATGAACGGGAGCTAATTAGCTAGCTAGGCACGGGTGATGGGTCGCCGGCCTCCATCGCAATCGCGACGGGGTCGCGTGACCGGCGGCCCCCGTGAAGACGACGTGGGCGCGCGCGCGCGCGCGTCCGTCTCGCGTGCACCAGCTAGCAGCTGCGCGCGACCAAGATCGGGTTACAACAGTCGACCAGAAACTGGTGGACGACAACTCGGCAACTGGCTTGCATGCGCCGTTGCGTCGGCGTCTGCGTCCAAAAGAGAAATCGCTGTAGGATGATTTGTATATATATAAACGAGTTGTAGCTAGATGATATGATCCATAAGTTGCCATTGGTGATTGGTCACACTCTTCCGGAATATGATATATCATTATATTTACTGTCACGAAGAGTACGTACGTACCACCGAACTCTATCACATCCACTTTCTGAACTACAAAACGGCGTAGTTTTTTTTTTAAAAAAAAATCTATGCATGAATATTTTGTAATACTATTTTAAATATGTTTTTAACTTTATAATAAGTTAATGGAGAGGTATACCTATAGCCCTACCAAACGGTCTGAGCTTCACCTTAAAAACAGAAAGTTGAGCTAGTTCCCGCTCTACAATTCTACTTAAGATTTTAAAAATGGAGATGAGATTAGGCTGCTCCACAATTCTACTTAAGTTTTAAAAATTATGGTCACTTTTATTATCCCTTGGATGATAGACAATGTTTCTCATAACTATTATATCACTTATCGCTTTCCAATGATTCAACAATAAATTATGATAACATACAAAAAAAATTGTAAAATTATATGTAATAAGCTTATATATGGTTAAAATAAACAGAAACTTACAAATTTTAAGACCTCGATATCTAGGAGAACCTCTATGTTTTAGGCGGAACACTAGTAGTCCTTTGGGTGGGACGTTGCGAAACCCATAGGGGCTAGTTTTCTTTTAAATTTCACTATGGTTGTGTTCTCTTAAGTCCTGGATCACCGAACAGATTTAGATTTCTTATAATTATTCGAGGATAGAAATGAATGAATTAACTAGAAAGTATCTACATACTATATTTAAGGTAATTATTTTTTTATAAGAAAACAGTCATTTTTTCCTGATAGCAATTAATTTAATGGTTTTCATATCTCTCACTATTCCTTATCCAAAATAAAGTTGCCGCATTCTTAGCTAGGTAAAAGGATGACAACGGATTACTCTAAGCTACACATAAAGTAAATTTACCATCCATAATTATTTTATAAAATTAGATGCAAAAATATTCAGACTTATAAAAAAAGGTAAACCATATATAATAAGAAAAACAATGA